GAGGAGCCTTAAATTTTATTGAGGCTATGCACTCCACATCTAATAGTCATGATACCAGTTGTTCTGTTGACCGAGTCAATCTTTCTTTATGACTCTAATAAAATTTAATCGAGATAGCCTTGAATTTTTCTTCAAGACTCGATAAAATACTTGAATACAGTATTTACGCTCCCTCTATCGCAATAAACCGTTATTACCAATAATGACAACTCAATAAGCGATAAACATTATGCGAAAGATTGAAAAATCGACTTTTTTAACGCTTGAAGTTTCAAAGTGAAGTGCATAGGTCGATTAAGAAATTATTTTACGGTAAAAAAGAACTCCGCAAGTTAAAAGATGTTTTTAGCTTTGAACATCGTGCAAAAAAAAAACACAGTCGAAACAAAGCGTATATAATCTGATTAATCGTATAGAACATATATATATATCCAACAGCGTACAAGAGTGATTCACTTGCACTCTTGCAAATTTTCAATGTTAAAAATCAAATCTACTATTTCATACTATTATACACTTATTAGTGTTGGCACCTATTGTAAAAGTTTTCGACTTTTCACTTATCACTGTTGAGACCTCAACCGATGCATATTTATTCTTGAGGTGCTAAAAGGCTAAGCAGTAATGCATAGAATTTTTTCATAGGGACCTCTTGTTGCTCTGAGTCATACCACAACTCAAATTATTTAATAAATTCTGGTCGGATCGCACCAGAAACCGCGTTATTTGTATATCTGATCAGAACCCAGAAATTCCGAAAAGGCCTAGAGATATGTCCGAGAACATGCTTTGCTAAAAATTTGGCGTCTCTAGGACGTTTTACGGCGATGTAAATGAGTTTTTAAGAGTACCGCAGTTACAGCCTTAAAATGGCGTTACAGTGTAACGGTAGTATAACTGAGCTTTTTAATTACGGAAAACAAATAGTGCCTTGATCATTTCACCATTCGATAGCAAATTTCGTCTTCTACAAAAATGCCTCAAGTGAATTTTTGCTTCACTGAGAAATTTCGCAGGAATTTCGCACTTTATGACAGGCACTCGGAAAAAAGGGCCTTTTTCGTTACAGTGTAACGGCCTGGTAAATTGCACCTAGCTCTCCAAACTTAAATCAAATTTTTTGAATTTTATATGGGAAATAGAGGAGCTCAAGCTGCGTCGAATGGCACAAGAACGAATTCTCTAGCTCATTTCGTTTTTGAGAAAAGCGGATTTTAATGCGTCAAAAACGTTACAGTGTAACGCGTGAACAAGCCGTGAGGTTGATCTTCGCAAAAAATTTGATGTTTCTTCTCGCCAAATTTCAATTCTTTGAAAGGAAAGAATTTTATCAAACACCTCTCCACGAAACTCAAAGAAGAACGTAGACAACTAATGCACATAGTATCTAAGACACTGGTACTCTATCGTTCAACTCGTCTGACTAACGAGGACATTGAGCGTCTGAAAACAACTGTTGGACAACTTCACTACATCGACTGCATGTGGAGTACAATTGAGTATGGAAATGGACAGATAGTGAAGAAAGTGTATCTAAGGGATGAGGCACAAAATGGGAGTAATAGAGGGATGTTTGAAAACTTTTTCGTGTTATTGATGTCGCCGTATATTATTTTTCTGCGAAATAACGTTTTTTCCGATATAAACTAAATCGTCTTCGACAGTCCGATCTATCTGGTATTCTGGTTCGAGCCGGAGAGAGTTCTTGATTCAACAAATGGCACCTAAATGCCCAGAGACCTAGATCCATGCAGCTCGTTTCTATGGAGTGCACAGGGCGTAACTTCTTAAAATTAACTTTCGCTCTTTTTAAAAAGGTCCTTCTCAAGTTGTTATGATGGCGGGGATTTTGTTGTCTGGCCCTTAGCACTTTCCAAAACTACGGACGCTGAGAATAAAAGTGACAGTGGCTGACGAAGTAGAAAGGATTCCTCGTATTTCAAGTGTGTGACAGCGACTTGTAAAATGACAGTTGTCTTCCTCTATTAATTGTGAAAAGAAGCCCGAATAATGTTGCAAAAGTCAAATTGAACAAAGTCTTTCTGTCAACAAAAAAACAATGCTCACTTGAGTGAAGTTAGTGTAAAATCCTCGGCTCTCTGATGCATAATGTCATCAGAATCCTGTTTTTAGACGTATCTCTAGTTTATGTAAGCTGTTTTTTGTTTGAACAACGATCGGATGTGTTTCCTTCATAGTGCGCCGGTACTGTTTAATGGCTCGCTGATAATAGTCCTCGGCTTTGTCGTACTCCTTTTTGAATTCGTATGCAGTTGCGATATACGCAAGGCTCTTTCCGATGTCCGGATGGGAAGCTGGGAAAAACTCTTCTCGCAGACGTAAACTCTCCTTGTACTGCTGAATTGCGTGTGAATAGTGCTTCGTGGCGAGGTAGAAGTTTCCTCTCTGCTCCGTGAGAGAGATAAGACCTTCTTTGCTGTCGATTCGTGTAAATATTCGCTCAGCTTTGTCAAACTCGGCCATTTGCAGGAGGACATTGCCGAGTGTGACCATCGATGTTTCCTCGCCGATGTCTTTTTTCAAGTAGGCAAAGAGTTCCTTCAGTTCGAAGTCATCTTCACTGCACAGCGCGAGATTGAGTATCCACAGAGATGAATTCGTGTCTTCGAGCTTAACACTACGAATGCGAAAGATCGAGCCGAGCATAAAGAGAATTTCTCGCTCATCTGGAAAAGCGCCCAATCCTGCAATATCTGCGTATGGTTTAGTCGGCAGGCGTCGATCAATTACGATTCGGAAAAGGATTCGACGCAGCTTGTCAGTCACTGGTGCGTTCCTAGCAAAGTCGCGCGCTTTCGTTTTACTTCGGCTAGTGGAGAAGAAACTGTTGATAGAGATGAAACCGCCGATACTTGTCTGCATTTGCGCGAGTTCTTCTTTAGCGATTACCTGACCGCGATAGACGTGAATAATGTGTTGTTGATCGTCTTCGTTAAGATTCAGCGACTGTAGATCATCGGCGTAGCCGAAGTGGAGCTGCGAGACTTGCTTGGAGAGTTCACTGAGGAAGAAGCGAAACGCAAGTATCGTATCAATCGATTGTTCTCGAAGCGCTTTGTTGAGTATACGATACAGGGAAGTCTCGAGAGTGTACCAATAAACAGCCTTCTCTCGTGTAAAAGTACGTTCAAACTTCCGGATGAATTTCAGTTGCGTGTTATTTTCAGACTGACTCTCACGCCAGGTTTGAATCATTTCATTTTTTGCGTCGTCAGTGTTTGGCATGCGCAGCAGAACTTCGACGAGCAGCTGAAACCACAGTATAGATCCCATTTCTTTTGAAATGTCCTTAGCTGTCGTTTCACTGGTGATTGCTGTTCGACTTAGAATACTGACTGGCACAGCTGCATCTTCCATGAGAGCACGAATTTTCTGATCATCGCTGACTTTCTCGATCAGTTCTGCGCGCTCAACAATCACGGATCGAACCTGTAATTTACAAAGAAAACGAAAGCATTTTGCTGAGCTGTTGACATTCTAACTTCTTCTAACTGACCTTTGCATAATCTTTTGCCCACCTCTCGTTTCTCTTTTTGTCGGCACAATAAACGTAGACGGAGTTCACTTGTTCAAGATCGTGAATGCGCGGTACGATTTCACGGCCAAATCCACCAGAGACGATGAGAATCAGAGAGGCCCTGCTCACTCGTGTAACGTATTCTTCACACGGCTGCACTGCGTCGTACGTTCTGATGTAGTTGACGATTGTGCGAAGCGCATGATATGTTTCTGTGTTATCCTCCGTCGTGTTGACATTTGCATCCAGCCATACGATGGTGAAAGTCTCAATGTTGTCGGTATCATTAGCCGCGGCTGACTCTGCTGGTTTTTCCTGCGAATCGTCTGATTTCGCAGCTGTTCCATCGTCTGACACAGAAAAAGCAAATACAAATGGATTTTTAACGCGCGACTCAACTCAACTTACTTGGGGAGAGACGCTCAATACTATTTTCCATTTTCGTTATGTCCGGATGATAGGGAGGTAGTGAACGAGCATACATTTCAAATGCCTTCCTGTAGTTCTCCAGGGCTCGCATTTTTTGTCCTTCCAGCTCACACAGATTCCCAATATTAGAGTAACATTTTCCAAACTGGGGATGACTTGGTGGTAAACTTTTACACATCTGCAGTTGCTTGTCGAAGCTCTCGTGAGCTCTCTTGAACTCATTCATAGAAGTGTAATAGTTGCCTTCGACGTCAGCTACGTTCGACAGGCCGTTCCAAGCTCGTTTCATGTTACGATCGCTGACTGGAGCAAGAGACAGCTGTCTCTGATAGTAAACTTTTGCCGTATCGTATTCGCCCATTTTAACAAATAGATCAGCCAGATCAACTAAGTCTGTGGTCTCCCGAAGTTCACTGCGTATGTAGTCTACCATCGCTTTGAGACGTGAATCCGCACCTTCGTCACATATTGAAATATTGATTAGCCACAGCTTTAAGTCCTCGTCGTAGGTGACTGCGTTGATTTGATAGATGGTGCCCCACATGAGTACGATTTCTTCTTCCTCCTCAAAATGACTCAGTTGAGAAATAATAGCAATGGGCAGAGTGTCAATGCTCAGATCAACATCGATAAGATACATTGCCCAATTGCTGCTGTCATCCTGTTTACTCCGACCGAACGCGACGCGTCGAATCCTACTTGTACTCCACATGCAGTCGATGTAGTGAAGTTGTCCAACAGTTGTTTTCAGACGCTCAATGTCCTCGTTAGTCAGACGAGTTGAACGATAGAGTACCAGTGTCTTAGATACTATGTGCATTAGTTGTCTACGTTCTTCTTTGAGTTTCGTGGAGAGGTGTTTGATAAAAAAGCGCAAACAGCAGATGTTATGAAAGTGAAGTAATCGCAGATTCCTATTTAATGTTACGTAGAGTTGACACTCTCTCGTGTACCATGAGAGAGTTTTCGATGGTTCAAAGGTCCTTTCAAACTCAACGCAAAGCTCTAGCTCCCTGAGTTCGCCTTTGCATTCGTTGCGCCAAAGGTTTAGAAATTCACCTTGAGCCTGGTCTGCGTCACTCATGCGAACTAATACTTCGCTCAGCAGACGAATCCATATAGCTTCATTTAGATCGTCGTTTTGGGCACCAGCTGCTGCTGCAGAGGCCATATTCTGCCTATGATCGAAAAAAAAGGGCACCAGCTGCTGAGGAGACCTAATGCAAAAACGTGATCGAAAAACAATTTTGACTGTGAGCAGAACGAATAAGAATACTAAACGAAAATAATCAAAAATGGAAAAATGAAAGTGCATGAAAAGCACTCTGCCGTTGGTCATATAGAGAGAACGGAAACAAATCATACGTTCAAGAAAGAGAACGGTGGAAGTCACTAACCCTTTGAGAACGGAATTTCTTTTTAATCGAAAAAGTATTTTTCAACCGTTTTATCTTATTTTAAATCAAAGTGGCTACATAAAAATCTTATGATAATCAAAAAAACAATTTTTTTCATCTTTTAAAAAAAATGGCAATTTGCAGGTAAAGCAAACAACAGTGGATGTTTAAAAAGAATTCATATGAGAGAAGGAAAGAAAGAAAAGAAAAGTATGAGATAACAGATGTAGTTGTTTATGACCTTACATATTTAATCGTTTAATGTGAACTGAACACTTTTTCTACTACGGATAAATAGATGGGTCAAAAATGACCTTTATTTCATACGTTGAAAGTAGAAAACTAATACCAGATCTCATTCCATCTCGCCGTCACCGTCACTCCGTACATTACGAAGCACTCGTCTGCGGACACTGGTTGGTAGTGCGGAAGATGGTCTTGTACTTGGAGATGAACTCGTTCAGCTATTTGTGAGATCCGTATTTTTAGATTTTTCGCTAAGACAAAAAGGTGTATCAGAACAAGTTAAACTTGTTTTCTGAAACAAAGTTATTGATGAGGGTGAGGGTGAGTTCTTCATGTTTTTTCGTGAAGAAATTCGTATTTGTCCGTGAGACAGAAATCCATGATTTTCTTCCCGAAGACACCCAGGTTTTTTCCTGAAGAAATCAGTGTTTGTCCACCGCAACTTCCTATTTTTTACAGAAGAAATCGACGTTTCCTCACGCGAACTGCATGTTTTTTCGCGAAGAAATCCATATTTGTCCACCAGAACTTCATATTTGTTCCTAAAACAATTCATGTTTATCCACAGGGAATTCATGTTTTGTCAGAAAAAGTCACCGTTTCTTCACAAGAAATTCATGTTTAATCACAAGAACTTCATTTTTTTTTCTGAAGAAATCCGTGTTTCTCCACAGGAAGTTTATGCTGGTTCCAAAAAAAATCGGTGTTTGTCCACAAGGAGTGCATTTTTTTTCGAACAAATCCGTGTTCATCCACGAGAACTTCATATTTTTTACAGAAGAAATCCACATTTCCTCACACGAACTTCATGTTTTTTCGTGAAGAAAAATGAAGAATGTCCACGAGACAAACACGGACAAGGACGTTTCCTCACAAAAACTGCTTGTTTTTGCGTGAAGAAATCCGTGTTTTTCTACGACAACTTCATGTTTGTTCCTAAAAAATCCATGTTTATCTACAAGGACTTCATGCTTTCTATAATATGCTTTGCGGGCAACGACTTATTAATCAAAAACTTGATTACTAATGCAGCTGTTTTGAACTTCATTTTATTTTTATTTTTATTTTTGTAATATTTCGACCCTTTATACGGTCATTTTCAAACGTACAAGTGATTGTACATAAAGGGGTCACTGCTGATTCGTTCAGCCGTACCAGTTTTGAACGGAACAGATCGTTCCGTCCCGTTGTATGTCTTCACTGACGGCTTAGAGAAAGTGGCAAGCACAGAAGATTATAGGACTCACAATCGAGAAGGTCAAGGTTGAAAAATACTTTACGATCATGTATTGATAATGCTGCATGACTAGTATATTTAAATGCGCATAAAAAAAAAGCAACACATGTATTCTAGAATGATTGTGGACTTTTCTTTCAGACTAGTACGTCAAAAAGAAAAAGAAAAAGAAAAGAAGTTGTATATATAAGTTTTACTTTTATGTACAATCACTTGTACGTTTGAAAATGACCGTATAAAGGGTCGAAATATTACAAAAATAAAAATAAAAATAAAACGTTCAAAACAGCTGCATTAGTAATCAAGTTTTTCATGCTTTCTTCTGAAGAAATCAGTGTTTGTACACAAGGACTCCATGTTTTTTCCTGAAGAATCTCGCGTTTCTTCGAGAAATCCTTGTTTATCCACGAAAACTTCATATTTCTTTACAGAAGAAATCGACGTTTCCTCATGAAAACTGCATGTTTTTTCGTGAAGCGATCCATGTTTGTCCACGAGAAAGTTTTTTTCTGAAGAAAGCCATGTTCATTTACAGGAACTTTCAGTTTTTCGCTGAAGAAATCAGTGTTTCTGCAGAAGTACTGCATGTTTTTTCGTGAAGAAACCCGTATTTGTTCACGAGAACTTTCAGTTTTTCCCCGAAGAAATCGATGTTTCCGAACAACCACTTCACGTTTTTTCCTGCAGAAAGCCATGTTTATGCACAGGAACTTCATCCACATGTTTTTTCCGGAAAAAGTCGACGTATCTTCACAAGAAATCCACGTTGAACCACAAGGAGTTCATGTTTGTTCGAAAAAACATCGGTGTTTGTCCACGAAACTTTCATTTTTTTTCTGATGAAATCAGTGTTTCTGCACAAGGACTAGATGTGTTTTCGTGAAGAAATCCGTGTTTGTCCACCACAGCTTCATATTTTTTACAGAAGAAATCGATCTTTCCAAACACGAACTTCATGTCTTTTGCTAAAGAAATCGACGTTTCCTGACAGGAAGTGGATGTGTTTTTCCTGCAGAAATCCGTGTTTATGCACTACGACTTTATATTTTTTCCAGAAGAAGCGATCCATGCTCCAGAAGAAGACATTCATGTTTGTTCCTGAAAAAATCCATATTTATCTACAAGAACTTCATGCTTTCTTCTGAAGAAATCAGTGTTTGTGCACAAGCACTGCATTGTTCGTTTTGAGCTTTCTCCATTTTTCGACGTTAAAAATCGATTTTGAAAAGTCGAAACACACATTTTCTTAACCAGCTCGACGCGCTCTGTACAATCATGTAGAACAAACTAGAAAAAGGTTTTGCTGTAGATTTGCATTATTAGCACCTTACCTATTGTATAGTTAGGCTGAATGTACGATTCAACAGTTTTATGTTAACTTTTCACTTCTTGGCAAATGTTAGCAAATGTCTATAGCGGGTGTTCTTCTTTTTATAATGGTAAAGATACTTCTTCGTTATTCTTCATCGTCTAAGAAAACAAAACCAAAAAGAAAAGAGAAACAGAACGGAAAAAGTTTCGTTCTATTGTGTTAGGTTTCTTGTTCCATGTAACGACTAAACGTGTGAATATCTGTGATCTGTATTACAGGTCACACTTAAAAAAACTGATTAGAGAAATAGAGAAATAGAGAAGAAATAAAGAAATTCAGTGGCAAGGTGGTTAGCAGACACCGACTACAGAATTCTAATGAGAATTTTGAGCTGAGAAGCGTGGTAATTCTTGGATTTTGTTGTTCTATCTTTTCCTATTTGTTGATACAGAGCGTATTTTCAATCTAGTTCGCGTACCGTACGCTTTGAAACAAAGGGGTACGCGTAATGTTAGAAACACTGACCGACTGTATGCTAGCACCATCATTCTGATTGGCTCTAGTAGTGCATTAAGGAGAAAAAATTCTTTTTTTTGTGATACACTACATTTTCGTTATCGAAATAAAGGGGCTCGATAATATTATCCTGAGTAATATTGATTTCGATATTATTGCTTCAGTATTTCAATAAAATATCGATATTACTGCATGCCTACACGCTTCTCTCAAATCTTTTATTGTTTTTCTTGTCTAATAAATACACCACACGCATTAGATAAAGACAATATTGCTAGATCAGGAAAGTGAGTTAGAGAATAAATTCTATCATCTTGTTTTACGACATGTTCAAGTTGTACTAAGCTGCTTCCATGATCAGTTCAGTGCAAAAATACCTTCGAGTGTAAGTAACGCTGTTTACTTCAACGAGAAAGTCTTATTTCTAGTAATCTTTGTAGTTAATATCTGAACGTTATGTGCTTCTACATAGCACGTAGGATCATTGTAATCGCTTGTCGATCTACTGAAAGATTACAATATTTCTGGGAAGGTCGTAAATCGTACAAACTCGATACTTTTTCGAGAAAAAACTTTTTGACAGAAGAATTTGTACTTTTTAAAGCATTACCGAGGGCAGTATAATTAATACTGAATAAATGTGGTATATAAGTGCTGTAGATGTGGTTTTTCTTCTGGACTCAGATACAGGTTTTCTGAAGAATCGACGATTTTGGGGGTATTTCCCTTTTTCCCAGTTATGAAACGCTTTATTAGGGAAATTTCTATCCAATAAAGATTTTTTATCGAATTCGACTCTTTTTACTTCTATTAATATTTGACGCATAATAAGACTATATCATGCGAAAATAATCATTTTTTAACTCAACAAATCACATGTCCGCCTGCTCTACGGAAAAATGCCTGCTGTACGGCACACACCAAAAACAGTAAAAGGAAAAAAGTATTCAACTTAGGGTATTAGGACTTACTAGTAGCAAAATATATGGGATGAAATCAGTATCGCAAGACGCCACGAAATCATGTTCTAGCAGAATATATTGAAATAACACTGTAACGGATATTATCCAGATAGAAAAATTATCTGACCCATTGTCACACCGCAATGACGTCATAAACATCATAACGCGATACGTGCGAATGAATAATTAATCCCGAGGCATCGTAACAGATTGATATCAAGATATATCTGGATAGTACTCGATGCTGGAAAGTACAGCGATAAAAAATCTGCCATATCCGTTGTCACACTGAGATGCATTCATGAGGCAGCGATATACTGGGATATATCTGACTAAAATAAGTATCGAAGCATATCGCCTGCAACGTATATCCCGCTGCATCGCGGTGTGGCAACGGATACGTTAAGTTCTTTATAGCGGAAAAGACCTTATGGGCTGTACTACTGACGTCATTACGCTTCCTTTTCATCTGTTTCCCGTATGTTCAACTATATGCTAAGTTTATGTAAAAATTACCCAACATAAGGACAACCCATGTGTTTTACCAAACTCTTTGTGTGTATTAGCTTCAATTCATTATTCTATAACTTAGTTTCGGTTTATATATTCGAATTACCTTGACCATGATCACAGTTTCATTCATTTAGGTGATACAAGAGGAGAAAAACATTGCTTGACTCCTAACCAATGTGTCTGTGTGAATAACAAAAGAAAACGCATTCGTGCGTGACTGATTTGTGTTTTTACAAATAAGTTCTTTACATACACTCATCGAGCTTTTGTAAGCAAGTTAAAGTACGTATAACATGAAAAAACAGTCTCCTTCAGTGGAGAACTAAACATCAAGAAGTTTTAATTCATGTTTTTCCGAAGCTACTATCTTAAAGAATGAGGCGAGCAGTGACCGTTTTATGAGGGATTTATCGATCACTGGAATCTTTTTTTGAGGTAATATATGTAATGTGATATATTGACTTCACTGTGTAGGGGTTCATTGTGACTGCGAACTAAAATGACATCATATTTTATGAAAACAATTATCGGTCAACAACTGGATGAAATTGTGGATAACATAGGTGGCAGCAGCGATGATGACAAAGAACGACGAGATTACAGTTCGTCTGAAAATGATCCGAGTACTCTAAAAGCAAGACGTATCGCTGAAGAACGACGAAAGGCCAAATATGCAAAACAGGAAGCCGATCGAGAGGTTGTGCGACAACAAATCCGAGATAAATATAATATTAAAAAGAAAGACGAACCATCACCAAATACAAAGCGTCCGCATCTTTCACACCTAACAGGCCGAAGCACTCCTGAAAAGAAAGTGCCAACGTCAAACGAACGCCACCAACAAGATAGTTACACTCCCCAACCGCAACAGAACGAAGCAGTTAATAAGACGGACTCAACTATGTTTAGTTCCATCGTCGACAAATTTTCATTTAAACTTCCATGGAATTTATCCCACTTCGTATTTCAACAAACGATCCCATGCTATTCTTAAAATATTTGGTTTATTATTATGTTCTTCATTAATCTTCTGATTTAAATTGTACATTGTAAAGCTCATCTTCTACGTTATGTATTTTCGTCGTACATTTTAATCTGAGCTGACTAAAGTGAGATAATTAAGATTTTCTTTAGTTCTTTCGTAGTTCTAGGCAGTGGAAAGCAAGAAAAAGACGAGTTACAAGTAACGCGGAATATATGTAAAGAGAAAGAATCGGAAAAAATACGAGGTTTTTCGGAACTAACGTTGATTTCTTCAGCAAGATAGATGAAGTTCCTGTGAAGAAACATCGACGTCTTCGGGAAGAAACACGAAGTTCCTGTGAAGAAACATCGACGTCTTCCGGAAAAAACATGAAGTTCTTCCGAAGAAACATCAACTTTCTAAGCATCGATTTCTTCAGCAAGAAACATGAAGTTCTTGTCAACTAACCTCGATTTCTAAGGCAAAAATATGATGTTCTTGTGGAGACACGTCGATCTCTGTAAAGAAACATCGACGTCTTCGGGAAAAAACAGGAGGTTCTTGTGGAGAAACATCGACTTCTTAAGGTAAAAACATGCAGTTCATCTGAAGTAACATCGATTTCTTGAGGAAAAAACATGAAGGTCTTGTGAAAGACAGCGATTTCTTCAACAAGAGACATGAAAGTGGAAGAAACAGCGACTTTTTCAGGAAAAAACATGAAGTTCTTCGGAACTAAGATTGATTTCTTCAGGATATTGGAATTTACCATCGCATGATCGATTTGCAAAGATTTTCATTTTTTGTTTCTTGTTTATTTTCCGTACATTCTGAAGAAAAGGATACTCTTATCAAGCTTTAAAAAGATTTGGTAGTGCTATGACATCTCTTCTTTGTTCTTTCCTTTTGAGCACACGGGTCGAACTTTGAGACAATATCTAAATGGTTTTAGACTATTAACGCCAATTCTTGTTTTGCTCTGCAGAGTTTAGAACGGTTTCATACAAAAAGGTTTGGTCCGTATGTCCAGGAGAAGAGGCAAAAAAGGATTCATAACGTTATCAAACTTTTTTTAAGTTTGGTGCAATATCTTTTTTTAGCTTTTAGATGATTGGTCGTGAGATGGAAAGTCATAAACATTTGAAGGATCAGACGAATTTGGTTTGAAATAAAACTTGCCATTCGCACGTTTTTCCCAAGTAGCTTTTCCGATATCTTTCGAACGTAGTTGGGTTAATTTATCAAACATATTTGATGGTCCGCTAGCTAGCGTAGTGTATTCAGGTGATAAATGTTTCAACAGCTCTTTATCGATTTTAGATTTTGGATCGAGATCACGATCTTTAGTAGGACCAGGAACAAGATTATTTGGATTCCAGATAAATCCTTGAATCAAAAGTTTACAATGTCTGTCTTGAACTTTTGCTTGATCTTTATCTGCTCATAGAAGTTCGTTAATTATAAGTGTTTTGACAGCATTATTTCTATCATCGTTCAAGTAACCTTCAATTTTCTGTTTTAAGACGTTATTATCAGGAATTTCTTCCATGTATTTATTCATGCCTTCACGAATTTGAGCTTTTGATATAATATGGTGATCAGCTACGTCTATTTTTTGGCCATTTTGATCGCATTCTTTTCTACTTTGATGGACAAATTTCGACATCTTACGATTAGTTGCTATCTAGCTTCTTAAGTTGGTTAAATCTATGTTATCTAATCTTAATTGACCATCGTTATCTTTATATAAACCAACTAAACTGTTATAATGAACTTGTATATCAGTTCGATTTGTCCATCGAAATTCATTCAACAATGTTTCATCATTTTTTATGGCTAAAGAAACATTTTCTCGTAAATTTTTAACAACATTTTCATTGTCAAAAATCTTCATTGCGTCTTCAAATGATTTACCTTGAAATATTTCATTTGCTATTAGTACAACATTGTAATAACAATCATTTTTATTTTGACTCTTGTTATTCATAGTAATTGATTCTCCATCGATTAATAATTCTGCATGTTTTATGCCATCACCGTTATCTCTAATAAGGAATGTAATTGCTGAACCATTTGGTCGACTCAAAGTACGTATCTGTTCATTATTGATACTTTCATTTTTTGTGACAACACATCCTAATATTGTATCTATCTTTTGTTGTTCATGTGGACCTGCTGCTTTATCACCTCGAATACTTCGATAATACTCTCGTGATATTGTTCTTCGTACATAAATTTTACCATTTTTATCAACATATGTTTTCACTTTATCCCCGTACAAATGATACATTTGTTGTAGACTTCTGCCATCCCCATTTTCTGAGTAAACATTCTTAGGATCCATATTTATTTGTTTCATATCGATAAGTGCATCTGCTAGAAAAATAGTTAAAGTATCTGCATACTGTGTTTTCGTAGTCAGTGGATTTGCAGCTGCATGTATTAATTCAAATGTATTTGCTATTTGTTCGATACGATCTGCACCAAGAAAATGTTCAATACCTCGACTAACAAAATGACTTGCCACATGTTTAAGTGCAGGTGCAAGAATTCGATTTTAAAGTTTTCCAAGAAGATTTTCACAGATAAAATTTATTATTTGATCAATATTATCTTTTCGAAAATTTTCAAAATCTGTCAGTTGATGGGTTTGATTTGGTTCAAGAACTAATTTTCGAAAATGATTCTCTTGAAGATCATTTTCAATAGTTAATTGAAATTCATTGAATTTTTCAATAATTTTCTTTTTGTCAATCATATTAATCGATTCACTCATTGAATCTAACCAAAAAGCCCAACGATTTTTTAAACTATTCAATTGAAATCGAATGTATTGATAACTATAGTAGACAAGATTCGGATCATCGGATAATTGTTTTTCTATTTTTTTATATAACTTTATAATACCAAGACAAGATAAATTCTCATGAGATGAAATCCTTGTAATAAATCTTCTTCAATATTTACTTTCGATAAATCATTCATGAGAAAAGAATCTAATCGTTGTTTTTCTTGATGATTTCTTAATTGTTTTAATGTTTCAATTGAAAGATCATATTGATTTTGAATAATATATTCCCTCGTACCATAATTTCCTTTTCTTGCTGTTCGACCAAATGAGCTCGTCGTCGATCTTTACTTCCTAATTCGAATTTAATTTCTCTATCTAATGCATTCTGAATCGTTTCTAACCAATTATCTTGTGATATTGTTACAGTACCTTGTAATTCTCGAAATAATTCTTGTTTAAACCTTGGTAATTCAAAAAATCGAAGTTGATAAACTTTATCTAAAAGTAATTGTTCATCGAACGAACCTAATGAATCCGTTAAACCAATAATATGATTTTTATATCGTTTAAAAAACGACATATTTGATATAAAAACAGCTTTTAATGATTCAGGTGTTATTCTTCTCATATGTTTCAATTGTAAAAATTGATGTACACCATTACTCCATCGGGTTGATGTTTGTTCTGTGCCAGTATCTTTATCCATAACAGTTATTTGAACATCAGATTTTGATGATGATTTATCTTGTGATACAATATATGTATCATTAAGAGTCATATCTCTCACATGAAATGCACTTTGAATCCATATCGACATTCGTCTTTTGACAAATAATTTCATATTAATATAATCCGACTTATATGTTTCATATTCTAGTATTTCAATATTTTTATTCTCAATTTGTTCGAATATGATATTCGATACTAATTCAATAATATCATCATCAATCATATGACTATCTATGGAATCAAACACTGTTTGATTAATTGTTTGCCAAATTGAAATAAATATTCTTTCTAAAGATTTTAATGTATCGATATTATGTGATAAATAAAAAACCATATTTGCATTATCTAATAACATACTATCAACTTCATCGATAATAACACTTGAAATACTATTGTTTGACATTCGTTGACCAATGATATTTTGTTCGGGATCATTTTTATTAAATTCTGTTAATAAAATATCTCGTTCAAAACATGAACATTCACCATAAACAATATCAATTGGTTCTTGAGAATAATATCTTAATTTTCGAATTTATTCTGCAGTTTGTTTTTCATCACCTTGTTCATAAAATATATCACAATTATTTGAAACGTTTAAATCAAACATTTGAAAAAATGATTGAAATTCTTTCGAATCTCGAATAGCTAAAACATTTGAACTTGTAATAACATCAACTCGATGACAAGCTAATGCTGTGACAATTATTGATTTACCTTCACCAGTTAAGATTTGTTTTAAACATCCTCTATTTGTTTGATTCAAATCAGAATTTAAGAATAATCATAATGCAAGAATTTACGTTTCTCCAGGATAAAGTCCCTTAAACAAATAAATCGCTCGACTAATAACAACGATCGCTTTTTGAACTTCTTTCTTCATAATCGAAAATTCATTATTCAATAAATTATCACTTAAACAACGAACAGGAGCTACAATAAACATTAGTTCTTGTGCTCCTGGAAATGATTTTTGAAAAATCTGGAATAATTCTAATGTATATGGAACTGTATTATTTAAAGTGATTACTTTCACTCTGTTTTGTTTACTGTATAATAAAATATTACTATTAATATTTGATCGATAATCAACTAATTCATTTGTAACATGAGTAAATCTATCGAACATATAGGGTAACGAAAATACACAATAATATTGATTACGTAGCGGTTGATTAAAACATAAAATCGAATGATTATTATCAATCCAATAAGACGATTTGTATGTTTGGATATAATCATCTATGTTCAATGACTTATCGACAACTCGAATACGAAAACACATATGAAATACT